CCATTTTGTGGTTTTGTCGGGATATGAATTGTGGAAGAGCAACATTTCCGCATCCTTGCGTGTGTATAATGTGGAAAAAGCATGCACGCAAATGCCCAACAACGCATGGTTAACATACCCTGCAGTGAAAAGCCAAACCAGTCAGCAAAATACCAGTTCATTAACAAGTACGTATGTATGTGCTGAAGCGATGGCCTACTAGTTCAACCATTTCAAATTAAATCAATGTACCTGCAAGCTCATTTTAAGTGAGTTATCTCTTAAACAGGTAAGGGACAGGTGGGAGAGTCTCACAACTTGTAGCAACACAAAGCTTATGTGGCTAAAATGGAACTAAAAGCAATCGAAATGTCCCCTCATGCTGAGCAGAGGGGATTTATCTACAGTCATGGGCCTGCTAACAGGCCATGTTGCCATTGGAAGGTACGTGGAGAGGCTAGGAATCCCCCACAACGACTTCTGCAGAAGCTGCAAAGATGAAGAATAGCCAGAAAACTTACGGCACCTGCTAAGCGAATGTCATGCACTTTGCAAAAAAAGACGAAAGTAGCTTTCCCTGCAGGGTCCTTATGCGCATATGCACGTATGTATGTATGCATGAACGAACATACATACATATGTATGCCGGTTTAGTTTTGGTTGATTGTTCCCAGCTAAATGACCGCAATGAGTTTATCTGGGCAGTTTCTGTTGTACTATTTATCGATGCGTATATTTGGGTTATTTATTTATTTTTTGCACGATTTGCATGCAAATACTTTCATAAATATGAGCGTTTACAGATAATGACAATAATTACGAAAATTGGGACAAATGTTAGATCGCGCTTCTTCACCAAGTGTGGTATGCGTGTTCATGCTGTCTCACAGATGGGTTCTTGTGATAAATGGAATATCAGAAAGGTTTCTTTCAGAGAGATACTATGTAGTCACGAGCAGTACTATGGTTCATAACTGAGATTTATATTTGATTTCAATAAATGAATCGGTTAATTACCAATGGGAATAAGTCAGTATTTTTCCGATATGGTAAATTTAATGCAGTTGAACAGAGCTCTTTTAAACGAACCGATCTGCATGAAAATTGTCATTTCAGCTCATTCCCTTTGGCAACACTGCTTTACAGGAAAAATGTGCATTGGATGCCATTATCTAAATCCTATGTAAAATTGCTCGCCGATTCCAAAAATCAAAAAAAAGGGGTTTCCAATTATCATCCGCCACCTATGTATTAGCAAGCTTTTTTGTGGAGTTACTCTTTCCAAGTAGGTAATATATCGCATACGATCTTCAAAGGTGACGAAAATTAAAATTATACGTTCGTCAGAAAATTCGAAAAACTATTTCTTAGAACATGCTTATCATATTGGCAAGGAAAACTTTACCTTAGTTTTTTTCAGCAAATTATAACAAAAATTTGCTCCAGCTTTTGCTGAAAGGTAAATAAAAACTCTGTGCACATTTTTAATGCATAATTTTAATAATGCCAAATTGTGAGTTAGGTCACCTTTGAAGATCGTGTGCGATATATTCCAAATATAAACTGGATCAGACCATCAGTTGCAGGCTTTCGAAATATATCGACCGCCGCGCCACCCACAGACCGCATTTTTTAATAAGTTATTTACTTCCATGTGGATAAAATGCATTTCAAATATGAACCAAATTTGACTGCAAATACAAATATAAAATATCTCGACTCCCGTGCCACCTAGCGTATTTCAAGTCTCTAGCTCATCTGGAAGTTGGTTAAAAATTTATTGCAAGATTTGACCCAAACCAACGTACTTACATATGTACATACGTATATTAGGATGGTCCTTAAATGTAGGAAGCAAAATTTTATATCAGATTTCCTAAGCCTCAACCCCTACGTCGATGCTGCTACAGTCGAAGATATCACATATAAATTTTGGCCCCGATTGGAGACGGTTAAGGCGTGTCGCACAGGGGGCAAAGTTCAGATTCCTCTATGGAGACTCAAACAATTAAAATTATTATTTTTTCCACCTAATATCCAAAACCGTACTACTTGTCGAAGAATAAAATTTATAGGTTATATCTTCGACTATATGTTCGCTAGCTCTATTCTTTTCTTCTTTTTCCAAGATAAGTAAAATTAGTCCTTTTCGTGGGCATTCAATTTTGCATTAGCAGTGCATTAGAACCATAAGAAATACATTATCACTGGTTATCAACTCTTCAACCACAAATTAGCTTTTCAGCCACACTAAGTGGCCCTATTTTTGCCGTTACTGCTGGATCAATGTACACTGATTATTTTACCACAGTTGAATCAACTAAAACAGTAAAGCCGCAAATTGCTAATGGGCGATCTATGAAGTAGTACCCAGTCGGAAAAGTAGTAATGCATCACATGCGTGATAAATAATATAATGTATTTCTTATGCGTTCTCGTTAACATTACTGCTAACTATGTAATCAGCATTCTAATGTATTGAAAAGGTACCAAAAAATTCATATTAAAAGTTTTAAGTTTATTTTTTCGATTACTACACGTTACATTTTCCCGCTGGGCACATATCCCGCAGAAAAAAAATACCAATTGATAAGATTAATCCACTTGCAGTTAGATTTTTTGTCGGATTTCTGTAAAATAAGTATTTAACTTGTATTTAACTGTAAGAAGCTAACTTGAAACTAGTTGAAAAGTAGTGCAGGAGCCATGCAGCAAAATCGGGAGATTGTTTTCATTAAACAAGCTTCTATTTAAAACCCGCATGCATATTTTACGTTAACCACATTGTTTTCTGCAATTTACAAATACTTTTTCGACAATACTTTCAGGTCAAATAAAATGTAGATCGAAATTTTATATTATCACTAGATCGCTCTCATCCAAATTTCTACGTGCTACATTAGGTGTAATTTATTTTAATTAAACTCAACATACTTAAAATATGCGAAAATCAGAGTTTTATATTTTTTAAATATCTTCAAAATATTTTCAACCTTAAACTTTTTCATACCTATGTACATGTAATTTAGAAATGAAGCCATTCAAAAATCCTTTATTTTGATACCCATGTTGTAATAATTCACTAAAATGATTGAAAATTTTGAATTTTACTTTTAAAACGGTTAGTTCCTATAATTCAAGTTGAATTTGAATTTTCAAACATGTGGAGTCCCTGTTATACATACGTGGCCTATATATAAAGCCTTTTTAAGACTCTGCCGATTAAAACCTAGATTGTAATAACTCATTAAACTTATAATATAATTGTAGTATTCGAGTTTAGACTTAAAACAGGTGGCAACCTTTTTCAAAAACCTCAGAAAACTCTACATGTCCAAGCTGAACATTTCTAATTTTAACTCGAGTTTTAAAACAGGTGGCAACCCTCTTCGAAATATCTTCCTACTAAAACCCTATTAAATCCCTCTTGTCTGACGTCCATATTGTGATACATATTCCAATTATCAGATTCCTTTAATTTAAGAAGAATTATGAATTTTAAAACATGTGGCAACCCTCCTACATGTAGTTTAGAATTAAAACCCTTATCAAGAACCTTTCGATTGATACCTATATTGTAGTAATATCATTTAAATTAAAGTAAATTTTAATTTTAGAAAGGGTGGCAATGCTTGTAAAACACCTCAGTAATATTTTAAATGTTCAATCTGACGGTTTCTTAGCTATCTTTCATTTGACACCCATATATTAATTTGTCAGATAGCTTGCTAATAATTAATTCAAATTTGGCTTTACGAACAGGTGGCCACCCTTTCCGAACGAAAAATGACAGAACGAATAATGACACTGAAGATGGCATAACGCCGAAACCGGGTTGTCTGCAAACCAAACTTGACAAGGGAGGACGGAAACTCGTTCCAAAATAAATCATCTTGCCAAAATATTTTCAAACTACAACTTGTTTAAGTATTCTTGTCATCCATCCTTTAATATAGTTTTCAGATAAATAATTCCCTTAATCAAGTCGAATTTGATTTTTTAAACAGGTGGAAGCCCTCCTCCTGAGTATAAAATTGATTTTATATACATATAACTATGTATCTATACCAAGTTCCTGTACTCCAACAAAAATATTTTCTGAGATATGGTATACGGTATGAAAATTCCATTTTATGGGAGGTGCCACGCCCCCTCGTGTATAAAAAAAGTTAGTTACAAGTTAGTTGACATATTGCGTGGCCATCGCCGTAGAAATATAGTTAGCTTTCCTCAAAGAAAGTACACAGATAATAGTGACCTTTACGTCCCTGCCTATTTTACTGCAAGTTAAATTATAGTTAAATAATAATAATTAAAATAGATAAATTTCCTACAGAGTAGTAGTAGTACTTTTGCATACTTTATTATATGTACATATGTGTGCATCATGTGTGGGTATGAATATTTCGTGTCGAAACTGTTATAGTTCTCATCGCTTCAATTCGCTGTTGCAGTTTTTAATAAATGCTCTCAGCTAATCTTAGCGATTTATGCAATTAAACAATGATTTGTCAGAAAATCCAATTAATTTCATTTATTTAATTTCAATGGTGTCACTTATAGGCCCAACACTTTAATGCAATTGATTAACGTAAGCCATGTGTCTGAATATTAATTTATCGATGAACAAAAAATAAGTTTTTATTTTTCAGCGCACATAATTGCACTTAGATTTTTAAATTAAAATAATATGTGTTTGCAAAAGTATAAGACATAATTTATTTAATAACTCATTATACTAAATGCCTCCTATTTATGCTCTAACTCTTGCAGCACACCAGCTGGGTAGGCAATCCCGGTTTGGAGAATCAACAGCAAATAGGACGCGCAGTGGGCGACCACTTCTTCACCTGTCCGACCAATGAATACGCACAAGCGTTAGCTGAACGGGGCGCTTCCGTGCATTACTATTATTTTACACACGTAAGTACCTAAATACATAAATATGTATCTGTGTTTACGAGTATGGATGTTCTATACCAGGTACACTCACCAAGCATCACATGGAAAGTCACTAACCTTTCCAAAAATGCCAATAAAATCATGGATTTTCCCATATGCGGTGCGGGGGTATTCTATTGACTTGCTTTTAATAGTTCACTAAAATTGCATGACTATAAATTAAGATGGCTTTTGCTCAATCCTATTACCGAACAAAGTATAAGAAATAAAAGTCTGCAACTACTGTGATTTACCGCAAGGGGATTCGGCATAACAGCTCCTAACAACCCCGGGCACCCTAGTCAACGGCCGCCAGCGCGGGAGCTGAGTGCAAGTATGGCTTAATACCCAAATGTGGGTAAAACCGACGTTGGTTGGTTCGATGTGCAGTTGCATTCCAACCGGGTGCCACAACCAAAGTATGGTAGAGGCTTTAGAAATGGCTTCGAGCCCTACCAAGGTGGGTAGTGTGTCCACTCCGCACTGCCGACTGGCACCGACGGGATCCGCTGGGCTTTTGAGCGCCGTGGGGTTAGGCCGTCGTCGGCAGGTACCCACGTAAAACAACGATAGATTCTATGTGATTTAAACCAGTTTTATGCGTTCCATTGACCATATACCATATCTTGGATAAGATTCGCGACAATAGGATCGACAAATACCCTCTACTGTTGATTTCAAACCACTTTGGACAGCACGAAAATAAATTGTGTTTATGCCGCGTTGTCTGAATTTGGTATACCCGCGGAACGACCTCTCCGAGCTGTTTGGTACCAAACAAGGTTTCAGTACATACGTTCATATATACATACATACAACTTGCCAAAGGTCTATCGCGTTTGCTAACACTGTACTTTGTAGGCTTTTATCGAGGAAAAAACAGCTGTGTAGTATTTTTAACTGGAAGAAAAAATCGCAAGGGCTGTGAACGAAAGAAGAAGGCACATGAATGCGGAGTGGGAGAATGGCACATTTAAAGGGCTGCATATACCGTCGTCCCCCCTGTGTGTATGCTAGCGTTGTATGTCCTCTGATAGTCAGTGCCCCGGCCACTGTCAGCAAAAATAGAGCAAATAAGAAAGTGTATTTGCACAACGTAATTATTAATGAAATGTACACAACTATCTGCGCAAATATATGTACAAACATACACTTTCATATGCTTTTGCAGCAAAATGCTATCGGCTGTGCCAATAGATATGCTAACAAGTGTCGATAAACTCACTCACTCTTGTACATACATACATATATACTTATGTACAGACATTGATGTATAAGTGTAAATACATACGTATATGCATATAAAGCTAGCAACACAGCTTAAAAGTTGATGCGAGTTTTCGATTACATTCTTATGTACGTACAAATTTAATTTAAGAAATTCATTTCCGTAGGTCATTAGTCTCTTTGAGTATATTTTCAATAAATGAAATACGGAAATGGTAAATTAGTTATTAATTAATTTTTTATGATAAAAAAGTATATATTTAAAAGTCTTACGTTGTACAACGGTCGGTAATCAAAAAAAAAAAGGCCAACAATTTTTAAAACGAAATTGAAATTATTAAATTAAAAATTTTTTAATCAAAGTTATACGATTCCGGAAAAATCATCGTTGTGAAAGATGGCAATTTTTGGTCAATATCTTAGGCTCGCCCAAACCCATAAAAGTTTAATGTGCTCAAAAAATTTAAATTAAGGAATACTTTAATTAATATATATTTTTTACAAAAACTGCAAGTATCTTGTAAAGTATTAGTTATACATAATTTGGTATATGGATTTTTTTTTGTAGAGAAACTAAGAAACTATTTCCTTAGCACTTGGACTTTGATGGACTTGAGCGAGCTTAAGATATTGACCAAAAGTTGTCATCTTTCACACAGATTATTATTTAAGCATAATGAACCATATTTTTGGTATTACCAATCAAAAGTCTAAAAAAGAGGATATCCAGCCCACACTAATGTGTATCAGTAAGCAAGCTTTAATATAAAATTATAGTTTAAAAAACTAAAACCTCGCTATTAAAATTTCCATTCGTACTGTCATCAGGTTACTTTAAGAATGGAAGTTTAAAGCAATTCCCATTCGTACTATCAGGTATGTAATTTGAGAATGGAAATCGCTACATCTTTTAGGCACATCAATATTACATAGTTACATCCCGAACTAATAAAAGCGAGGTAATAAGATTTTGTTAGTCGATTTGAGTTAAACAAATGGGATTCAGAAATTGAGGATTTATTTTTTAACTGTGGTAGTCTTATTGAAATATTTTAAACACAAACCGTAGTTATTTGATAAGCTTAAGTTTAGATAAGATTTATTCAAACTGAAACTTTGCAATATGTACATTAAATAATAGTGCTTACCATAACTTTACAACGCTCATCTATTGACAATATTCGATCTATGACAATATAACAAAATCGATAAAAATATCCATAACAAAATCGATAAATATCGATAACAACATCGACAAGTATCGATAACAAATCGATAAATATCGATAACAACATCGACAAAAATATCGATAATAAAATCGATAAATATCGATAACAAAATCGACAAAATATCGACAACAAACTCGATAAATAGCGATAAGAACCGATAAATATATCGACAACAAAATCGATAGCAAAATGGATAAAATTTATCGATAAAAATAACGATAAAAATATCCATAACAAAATCGATAAAAATATCCATTACAAAATCGATAAAAAATCCATAAAAAATCGATAAATATCGACAACTAAATCGATTAATAGATAACAAAATCGATAAGTATCGATAACAAAATTGATAAATATCTATAACAAAATCAATAAAAATATCGATAACAAAATCAATAAAAATATCGATAACTAAATCGATTATTATATCGTTAAGTTCTGAAAATGTCGATAGCAAAATTGCTAACAATACCGATAAAAATATCAATAAAAAAAATTGATAAAAATATCGATAACAAAATCGATAACACTCGAGAATCGCGAAAATCTCTAAAATCTCAATCTCTCTATATCCTTTCTTCTTTAATTACCTTTATTTTAATCTTTCTTCCCCTATCTTCATCTTTACTTTTATCGGTATCCTCATCCTCTGTTTTGTCTTTACTTTTATGTTTATCATTTTCTTCATCTACATATTCCCCTTCACCTTTGCCTTTATATCTAAGTAAAGTGTTTAAATTTACCTTGGTCTTCATTTTTGCCTTTATCTTTACGCATCTTTGTTTTAGTTTTTATTTTTACATTTACCTTTGTCCTTTTCTTTATCTATGTACGTACTCATCTTGACTTCCATTCTTGATTGGTCTTCTAGTAAGTGTTATTCTTTAACCTTTCATTAGCAAATTTTTGTGCATACACACAAGAAGTGCTTGTTTCAGACCCAACTATTTCCGTTGCACCATTTCCGTGTGCGATTTCCGTTGAATTTATGCGACCCATTCAATTCTAGTATTATAGAGTGTAAGTTTAAAGTTTAAAGACTTACCGTTGATTATTGGGAATTTTTTTTGTCGAGGATGTCAGTCATTTTCATCTATACAAAGTATTTTGGTCGCTTTTTATATGGACAAAACGAGCAACTACTTCAACAAAAAAAAGAAAAAAAATGCAAAGATCAGCGGTATTTTGTAGCCGCTTTATTATACTAAAATTGAATGGGCTACAAAACTGCATACTCAAAATATGTCTAACAAAACAAATTAAAAAGCTAGAAATTATTATGAAAGTTTGTTAATTTTTTTAAATGTTGCACAAAGACTGCAAATTGGATTTATATGTATTTTGTTAAAGAATATACTATATTTTTATAAACAAACAATAATAATTAAAAAATATTAAGATAAATGTTAAAATCTTGTCAATATATGAGCGTCGTAAAGTTTGCGATAAGCACAGAAGGCCGTGCTGCCAGTTGTTAGCTGCCAGCAGGTCAGAGGCAAATTTTTAAAGCATGTTATATAATTTTACATAAAGCTTGGTGGAGATCGGTGACGTGGTTTTCGAGATACATATATTAACGCATTTAATATAAAAATTTTATGGCAAACCATTTTTCCAATATTTCAAATTTAGCTATTGAAAATTCCTAAAAAAATTGAGGATTCATGACCTATAATAAACTTATTTTCATATTGTACTCGACTTTACCAGCAACCTACTACTAAGCTTTGTTTCGGGTGTCTTTCGGGAATTTTTCGTAGCAATCTTCTACGTGGATTTTGTTCCAAGTTCCAACAGAGCTCAATCTGTTGTGGCGATAAGTGAGCTGAGATGTAAAATCTTTAATCCGGTGGAGATGTTTTGTAGTTTAACCTATCCTTTGATTTTCCATGATTACATATTTTTAATATCACTCACACCAATATGTATTTACATACACATGTGTATATATATGTATGTACGAAGGACACTTATAATTCGAATGAAGCTTTCTTTAATTTATTGAAACCAACTGTGTCAAGGTGAAGTCGAGAGGTAACAGCTGTCATTTAGCCAAACTGTCCCCAGTCGGTTTAGTGCTGCAAATTGTTAAGACCAAAAGCTCGAATCGGTATGCATTTAATATTTCCTGGCTTTTGAACTCGTGGTTTTGTGCATACTAATTTACATACATACACGTACGTATGTATATGTATATATACATATACTGCATATACCTATGGACATATGTGTGTATGTATGTACTTATGTATGTATATGCATGCATTTATATGCTTGTTTAAATGTAAATTTCTTTCAGTTCGTCATGCAACGCCTTTAGAAATTTCACTTTTCCGCTTGCACTTCGTTCGACGAAGACATTAAACTCAAGGGGGACATTTTGCAGTTTGATTTATGAATAATAGACGACATTTGATGAACCTAACTGGAAATATAGTAGTGTTTATGCACATACAAAGCAGGAATATGAATAATTGAGTAAAAAAATAGGAATAAGTTTTCATTCAACATTTCAACAATTTTGAATGACAAATAAATTTATATTCTTCATTCAAGCACTTGCGAATGATAAATAAATTTGTATTCATCAATCAAGTAATATCAAATAACGAATACATTTTTATTCATCATTCAAGTGATTAGGAATGACGAATACATTTTTATTCATCATTCAAGTAATTTCGAATGAAGAATATATATTTTGTATGTTCATTCATGATTCAAGTAATACTGAATAACGCAAATTCTTTCATTTATTCATTCTTTCTTGATCACAGTTCCAGTTAGACGATCATGGTAAATGTTCGTGGCTTATATACATATATATTGTGTGTGAAGTATTAGAAAATATAATATCAAAATCTACATATGTATGTATATAAGACAAGAACATTTACCATGATCGTCTATCTGGAATGAATAATCTTCAGTAGTTACTAAAATATCGCGGTTTTCGTATTTCTGAAAATTACCGTTATTTGGTAATGGTATTGGTATGCAAGTACCAAGTTTCGTTAAGATATCTCAATTTTTACTCGAGTTATCGTGTGCACAGACGGACAGACGGACGGATGGACGGACGGACAGACAGTCANCTGATCATTTATGTATACATTTGTCTATATCTATCTCGATTCGTTTTGCCTGTTACAAACAACCGTTATGTGAACAAAGTTATAATACCCTTGTGCACAAGTGCGCTCGAGTATAAAAAATATATACCCGATGACCAGAGTATACGATCCGACGCTTTTACAATCAAAATGTTTACTCTATCTATTCTTACGCGCCCTTGGGAGTTTTGCCTTGAATTTTTAAGCTTTCTTAATAAACTTTCTTTTACCTAAGTTATGATTTTATAAGGGTCAATGGTAGCAATTCAGTCGGCCAAATCAGGAGCGCTGCTCAGAGTGCTTTAAGGCAAGGGTTTTCCAAAAAGACGTTCCCTTTGAAGTATAGTAAAAGAAAAGATTGCACTTGGGAAAATATTATGTTATACGAGATATACATACATGTATGTAAAGAAATACATGTTTTCAGTTAGCTTTTGGAGAGAAAGGGGAAAAATAAGGCAATTTGGTGGGTTAGAAAGTGGTTGAACCATCTTTACCGCCTAATTCTGGTGTGCGTCTTGATG